CCGAAGGAAAGGCCTGCCGCCAGCAAGGCCATTGTTGCTGTGGTGCATTGACCGAGGATCATCCCTGTGCTCCTCGAAACCCAGATCCGCTCCATGCCATCGACGTCATCGAGGCAGAACACCGGAACTGCCACCCACAAGCCTCCAACCTTGTTCTTGGACCTTAATCCCCACCCCAAGTAGGATTTCTCCTACTTGGGGCGCCCCTTGGCTGCCTCTCCTCCCCTCCAACCTATATATATGAGGGGGGCACGGCTAAAACACACAACAAACATTGTTAGCCGTGCGCGGTGCCCCCCTTCACAGTTTACGCCTCCGGTCATATTCACGTAGTGCTTAGGCGAAGCCCTGCGCGGACCACTTCACCATCACCGTTACCACGCCATCGTGCTGACGGAACTCTCCCTCGACACTTTGCTGGATCAAGAGTTGGAGGGACGTCATCGAGCTGAACATGTGCAGAACTCAGAGGTGCCGTACGTTCGGTGCTTGGTCGGTCGGAACGAGAAGAAGTTCGTCTACATCAACCGTGTTGCCAAACGCTTCTGCTTTCAGTCTAGGAGGGTACGTAGACACACTCTCCCTCTCTCGTTGCTATGCATTTCCTAGTTAGATCTTGCGTGAGCGTAGGAATTTTTTTGAAATTGCATGCTACGTTTCCCAACAAGTTCTTCTCCAGAAATTTCTCCCGGCCCTCTTCCTAGTATTCCACATTGTTACCAGATTCCATAATCTTTGTCATGTTGAACCATGGTTTAAGAGCAGCGGGAGGAACTCACCTAGTTCAGAAGAGGAACTAGTGTGGGGAAGGGTGAGATTTTAGACTGGCGAACTAGCAACCAGACTTGCCTTCCAAGTTCAGCCGCCACCTTTGCTGTCACCAATGCCACCTGCCACTAATGATGCACGATTTGTCTTGAGAGACCAATATTTTACTATAGGGGAAGTGATCCGTTGCAACCTATGTAAAATTGAACTGCTCCCGAACTATGTTCACTCCGAACCGCCGCCAACGATGGCACACCCTGACCGGGATCTAAAGAAGAGGGGGATTTTAATGACGATCCAAACCCCAGACCGTACTCAGATCCAAAACTTCGTCAAGGAACTTACAACTCATGGTACCAATTGTGAGGTTTAGAGTTAACTAACTCCTAAACAAATAGAAATGGAGATTTTGGCAGAAAAGTAGCTAATTTGACAGGAGATTTTCTAGGGTTCTAGTCACGCTTGGATAAGCACAATACGGGCCATTTGGAACACGGTGGCTAGGGTTTTACCCAGTACAAGAATTGGTACTTACAACCCATATCCTTGGCTTGTATAGTGAACGGTGCTTGTTGTCGGATTTCAAATAGCGACCCACATGAGGATAGGGACCGTCCGATCTGGAATCAACGTCAAACACGTCATGGCCTTGGGCGAAGCAGTACAGTGCAATGTAGACAATTTTTTTTTGAGAAATCTCGTATACCATTAAACAGATGTCAAATTACAACACTAAATCACGAAAACCATGATAGGAAAAGAGAGGACACATGTCCAGAAACATTTGCAAGAAAACTCCATCGAAGCAGATTTCTGCAATAGCCATCATTGCCACTTGCCGTCTTTGGAGGTGAAGAAACACCATCGCCCATAAAGGCTTTGTGAGCCGAAGGAAAGGCCTGCTGCCAGCAAGGCCATTGTTGCTGTGGCGCATTGACCGGGGATCATCCATGTGCTCCTCGAAACCCAAATCCGCTCCATGCCATCGATGTCGTCGAGGCAAAACACCGGAACTGCCACCCACAAGCCTCCAACCTTATTCTTGGACCTTAATCCCCCCCCCCCCAAAAAAAACAAAGACGGCACCACACGAGATGAGTTCCGCCATAGACACAACAAACACCACCGCTCCACCAGATCCGCGCATCAAGAAAACGATGGAATAAGGTTACCGCAGATCCATCGATTTCACCACTGAGGACGTCATCGAGATGAGGCTAAGATTGGGGAATTTTTATTCTGAACGCTGGCGTCACCGCCATCCAAACACCGCCATGGAACACACTAAACCTAACCTTAACTACAGCCGAGCGGAGAGTTGTGGTTCCCTCACCCATTCGTCGCCGGAACGATGACCGGAGGGCAAGAGAACCACCGGCAGAGTGCGGGCGAAGCGGTTAGGGCATCTCCAGCCGTGCCCCCAACAGGCCCTCCTCAGGCGATTTTGCCGCGCCGGCGCCAAAAAAACGGCCCAGTCACGCCCCCAGAAGCCCGTTTTTCGCCATCTCGGGCCAAAATTGGTGCCGGCGGACCCAGGCCGAACCCGGCGCCCTGGGGGCGCTTGGGGAGCCGGCACAAGCGAAAAAGGCGCGTGGGCCTGCCCTGGCGACGACCCGAGGGCCTTTTCCCGCCGCTTCTTGATGCTTTTCCCTCGCATCTCCTCCGCTCGCTCGCCTTCCTCCCGCCATTCTCTCCCTTTCTCCCGCCAAATCCACTCCAGCTCGCCTTCCAGTCGCCGCCATGCCGCCGAAGAAGTACGCCATGCCGCGCGCGGCGGCAACCACGACTGGCACCGTGGCCCAGCCAAAGCAAAGGAAGCCGAGGGCGCCGCCATCAAAGCCACCGGGCATGTCGAACGCCGAGTGGAGGGTGGAAGTTCAGCGACGCGACGCAGTCACCACCGACCGACAGAACAGGGCCATTGCCAAGAAGGCCCGCGACAACGCGGCGCGTGCGGCGGCGTCTTCCTCATCGGTCGACCACGCGGGGATGATGAATCCACCCGTCGTCAGCCACGCCCAGTACGCGCCCTGGGGACAGCAAGGCGTCAGATCTCCATGGGGATCGTCGTCGCTCGGCTACGCCGACGGCGACGCGCACGGGGGGTTCAACCCAAACGTGACCTTCCCCCATGGCCACCACGCGACGCGCACACCCTCGCCCGCCTTCGTCGGCGTGCAGTACCCTCCATACAACTACTCGTCGCCCGCCGCCTACGCGTCCACACCGACGCCCCATCTCCGCCGTGGGCCGCTGCCCTTCCCGCACCTCAGCGACACGGACGACACAGGAGCCGACATGGACGACATCATCGCGACAGGATCGACCGCAGCCGCCGCGTCTCCCAGGTTCGCCACCCAGGATGAGGTAGTGGATCTCAGCGGCGACATGGAGGCCGAGCTCGGCTACGTCTACGGCGAGGATGCGCACGAAGCGCAGGAACCCGAGGAGGAGGACGAGGACGAGGAGGAGGAGGAGCCAGCTCCTGATCCGATGAAGGGGCGCCGGAAGAAGAAGCGGGCGGCTAGGACAGGCGAAGCGCGCATCAAGTGGACATCCAAGGAGGAGGAATGCCTCGCCGAAGCATGAAAAGTCGTCTGCCTCGACCCGACCACCGGAAAGAACCAGAGCTTCGAGACGTACTGGGACCGCATCAAGGCCGAGTTCGACGAGCGGAAGCTCGTCGACCCGTACTTCAAAGGCGTCTACATGCAGCGCGGCTCCAAGGCGATGGCGAACCATTGGGGGCGTATCCAGTTGGCGTGCAACAAATGGCATGGAATCGTCGAGGAGGTCGCGGCTCGCCCGGAGAGCGGCGCCAGCGTTGAGAATCAGGTACGCACGCCGTTCACCCGCATCTCTTCGTCGTCAACGCCCGCCGCCCGCCAACTGTTTGTTCCTCCGCGCAGCTGCTGCGTATGTTCATCATGTATCGGCGCGACAACCAAGACGCCGACTTCAAGCACCTCCACGTCTACAAGCGCATTAACAAGTGCGAGAAGTGGGCGGAAGTCCGACGTACCCTCGACAAGGCCAAGGAGACATACAAGCCGGACGCGACGACTCCGGGCGCGTCAGAGGGGCGGCCGGACGGCCACAAATTGGCAAAGAAGGGGGAAAACGCCGACGCGGCAACCGCGCGAGTGCAGGAGTCCATCGAGCATTGCCTCGTCGACGCCCAGGCCCCGGCCGTCCTACGTGAAGAGAAGACCGAGGCGCGGTGGTCGTCGCTAATGAAGAACAGCGCCATCAAGCTCGACCTGCTCCGGACGAACGTCGCCGCGAAGAAGAGGAACACCGACATGGCTTTTCTGATGGGCGGGGCGGACATGCTCCAGAGCAACGACAAGCAGCTCAGGGCGTGGTACATGGCGGAGCGTGGCCTCATCATGAACCAGATGCAGACGGCAACGCCGATGACACCGACGACGCAAGCTCCCGCGCCCACGACCACACGGACGCCAAGCCCGAACGACGCCTCTACATCGCCGCCCAGCAGTGCCGAAGCCGCGCTGACACAGCCCAGCACCGAAGCAGCTCCGACACCGCCGAGCCCACGCACGCCGACTCCGCCAACGCCTGGAGCCAACCCCGCCGAGTAAATCATTGCGCACGCGAACTTGCGGCGTGCGGCGCTCTGTTTTTTGTAACGCCAGACTACGTCCGATCGCCGGATTTGTGGCGTCTTTTGAAAGCGGGAACGATCAAGTTTAAATTTCCCGCATCCTGGGGCCGACGCTTGGGGGTGTGACTGGAAGCTAGGTCGCCTCAGGGGCCGAATTAGCGCCGGCACGCCCCCAGGCCGCTCTATTTAGGCGCCCTGGGGGGCCGAACGGCCGGAGATGCCCTTAGAGATCGAGTGCTGAGGAAGAAAATAGCACGACAACCCGGTACGCAGCTTAACTGAAGATTTTAGACACTTGCGGGGACCAAGATTCAGAGGTCTTGACAGCTACCTGAGCCCATGGCCTACGGAAATCACAGCTTCTGGATTTCTGCTCCGTCTTTTCGATCTCCAGTACAACTTCTCTGGCCCTCACAGCCTCTCTAATGGCGCTTTGTGCTACTACTTACAGGTTGAAGAAGGTAGAGGCACAAGAAAACCAAGGCTACATACATGTACACCAAAAACTCATACATGTCCAGATCTAGCATATACAGCTGAAAATTCGTCTCATTTCCCATCTTCTAGCTTTATCTTCTTCCTATAGTCTTCGGAGTTCCATCAGAGATCAGACATAGTAGATCATGCCGACCTCGAGGGTGGAGGCGTGCGGGACGGTGACGGCGTAGTTGGGGCCGCGGCTGTTCCTCCGCAGGAAGTCGTAGCCGAAGTTGATCACCAGCCGCCGGAGGAAGCTGGACCCGGTCTTGGCCTTGACGTAGCAGTGGCCCAGGATGAAGGCCATGCCGGCCTCCCGCGCGTCCGTGAGCTCCCGCAGCTCCTCCTCCACGCCGGCGTTCGGCCGCGGGGTCGACGCCGGCAGCACGAACCTCACCCTCTTCCGGACGCCCGTAGCCGGCGCTGGCGTTGCTGTCGGCGTTGGCGTTGGCGACGGCGACTGTATCTCCCTCTCCCCCCTGGCGGCGCGCGAGGGCCCGACCGTGCTCTCCGACGCCGCCGCGCCGCCGAGGCCCTCGTCCTCCATCATGCGCATCCTGCCGGAGGCCACGACCGTCATCCGCTCCTCGTCCCTGTCGACCACGCCCGGCGTCAAGCCGTTGGTCTTGGAGGCGCCGCCCCCTGACCGGATGAACTCAGCGACGCTGCACACGAGGTCCTTCTCGAACTCCTGGTCGTCCATCTGCACGTCGTGGTACCCGTACCGGACGATGCACCGGTAGATCCTGTACTCCTTCGGCCCGATCCTTCCGACCAGGAACCGCTCGTCCGGCGAGACGTGCGGGATCGGGACGTTCTTGATGCACATGAAGATGAGCACCTGCTCGTCACCAACATCAGAAAAATGGTGTGAATGTCAACACACTTCTGAATGTCTGACAAGGTAAGCCGGTCAAGATTCAGAAGAAGAGGAATCTGCAAATACCTGATGGAATGCAGGCAGATTGGTGACAAAATGGGAGAAGATGGCAGGGATGCCGCTGTCGAGCTCGGTGTGTATGAGGCCGATGCCGCGGACACGGACGATGCCGAGGTTCGGGCTCAGGCCAAGGAGCCAGTTGATGGAGACCTTGTTCTGAAGATCGAACTCGTACTTCTTGATGGTGCCATAGTGCCAGATGCACATTACCATCATGAAGACGAAGGCGAGGACGATGGGGACCCAGGCTCCTTCCCTGAACTTGATGAGCGCCGCCGAGAAGTACAGCGCCTCGATGGTGCCGAAGAACACGATGAACCCGATTGCCAGGAATATGCTCTTGTGCCAGCACAGGACTATCACCAGCGACATCAGACATGTGGTGACCAGCATGACGGTTATTACAGCCAACCCTGTTTTACAGAAACATCACCACAGCATCATTCATATGTATAGAGTCAATTTAACAGGGGATAAGGTGATTCAAAACTTATTAACATGGTATACCTGATGCATTGCCCAAGTGTTTTGTGTCTCTGAAGCCAATGGTTACAGCTAAGCACAGTATCATCAGGATCCAGTTGATCTCTGGAATGTAAATCTGCCCATGTACTTGGGCGGAGGTGTGCACAATCTTCACCCGGGGAAAGCAGCCTAGGGAAGTGCACTGCTTGATCATCGAAAATGTGCCGGTGATAACAGCTTGGCTGCCGACAACCGCCGCGAGAATGGCGATTGCCAGAACTGGCCATCTAATTACCTCTGAAAATGCCAAAAATGCAGACATTTTAAAACACAGCACAAGGAGAACAACAATTTAATATTATTCTCGCCACTGGCAAAAGATCCGAGGAACATGACTTGCCTGGCACAGACACGTAGAATCCGACCCTGTAGTCACCTTCCAGGATATGATGCTTAGACAGATAAGCAGCTTGGCCCATGTATGCAAGGATCAATGATGGGTAAACCATGCAAGTAAAAGCAATCTGCATCCAGGAAACTGTTATCAGAGACAAATTATTCGCCAGTAAAATGAGCATGCAGCAGCCATTTCTTCACCTGTATCGACAACTGGTTGAAATGCCCCAGATCTGCGAACATCGCTTCAGATCCTGAAAGAGAAAAGTCACTTTATATTAGAGGTCATGATCCACAGATCAAGGCACTGAAAAATGGTTACTGAGCATTTTACCTGTAACACAGAGCAGTATTCCCCCCAGTGACATCCAACCTCCTCTCTGTGTTTTCTTCAAGAACTTGTACATGTAATACGGAGATAACGCTTGATACACATGAGGCTCCCATTTCACAATATTGTAAACACCAATCATGCTTATGCATAGAAGCCATGCGATCACGATCGGGGCGAAAATGAATCCCACACGGTGAGTACCATAGTGTTGCAGTGCAAACAGGCACACCAATATGAAGCAAGCAAGAGGCAATTCCACATCTGCAGAATCACAATGACTAGCTACTATTAGAAATGAGTTTTAAATATAGCAGAACAAATCCACAACAAAAAGAATCGATAAAGGACAGTGCACACATGTGCAGGCATAAATCAAGTCGACAAAGGCTAAATTATTGGTATGGAGAAGAGAAACGAAGTTCCTATGCTCTGAATTAAGGAATTTTCTTCAGCATATGTTCCGCTTGTCAAGATACCATATTTGTGCCGTCGGTCTTTTCTTCTTTCAACAGCACATTGAACTAAACAAGCATAACATTGTAGACGATGGTCATCTCTAACTCCAACTACATTTCCAACACCATTATCACACGGAAAGTACCGTTAGTTGGAGCTATGAGTGGTGAGGAAATTGGTCCATTTTCCTGCTCATAACAACTGTTAGGCATGCGATGACTACTGGCAGTAGTCCCTTATTTGGTACCCACACATCCCTGTCTGTGATCATGCTCAGTTTCTCGAAACTGAACTGAAGTACTGCACACACACTGATACATCTTGGCACGCAACTGATCATCTGAGTTGGCTAAGGCAATTTCGTTGCAGTTAACTTTCACCATCCACTGTTTCATCGGCCGCTGGCTATGCTAATTCGTTCATGTCCTTGCAGTTAACTTTCACCACCCACTGTTTCATTCGGCCGGTTTTACCACCGACAACCCGGATCGGCCACATTATCTACCATTGCTAGGTAAAACTTTCAGGTAAAAAGAAGTGGTAGGCATCAAATTAGTGATCTACTCCCTCCGTTCCATATTACTTGTCGCTGATTTAGTACAACTTTGTACTAAATCAGGGACAAGTAATATGGAACGGAGGGAGTAACAGGGAAGCAATTCCACAACTGTTCAGACCTTGACTCAAAAACAGTAATAGGGAGGACAAATCTGCCTTGTAAATCCAAAGCAATAGAAAGAAAGAGGGCCATGGCCATGATTGGATCCTTACATTTGTGATGTCCCTTCTCCATGGATAACTCCAGCCCGGACACCGCGGAGAAAACTGCAGAAACAGACCCACGATCTCCAAATCAGCAATCCACATCGTAATAAACAGTCCAAAAATAGTAGTAGCACTCCACTGTTGGATCCGAATTAACAGCATCTTGTTTGGCGATTTGGCAAGAAGACGCACCGGAGATGGCCGGCGTGAGGACGCCGTCGCCGATGACCATGCAGGTGCCGACGAGGGCCAGCACGAGCAGGACCCGCTGCAGCACCTTGTGGCGCTCCAGCACCCGCCTGACGCTGGCGGCGGCGCCCCCGCCGCGCCCGCCCAGCGCGTCGGCATTGTCGTACTCGAGGTACTTCTTGGCGACGGCGCCGCCGGCGTCGGAGAACTGGTCCTCGTCCCCGGGCTCGGCGCCGCGGCCCGGCGGGAGGAGCGCGGCGCGGGCGTGGCGACAGAGGAGGGAGTAGAGCGCGAAGGTGCCGCCCTCGCCGTTGTCGTCGGCGCGGAGGACGACGCAGACGTACTTGAGGAGCGGCACGAGGGTGAGCGTCCAGAAGACGAAGGAGAGCACGCCCAGGATCTCCTCGTTGGTCTCCGAGTGCTGGATGTCGTCCGCGAACGCCGCCTTGTAGACGTACAGCGGCGACGTGCTCAGGTCGCCGTACACCACCCCGAGGCTCTGGTACGCCAGGCTCAGCGTCATCCGCCACGGCAGCCGCTTCCTCCCCTCTCCCCGCCTCCCCTGCCGCACAGCCAGAACGCGTGACAAACATCAGAAACGAAAATAAATAAAAGGCACATTCAGCCAAGACGACGGCCGGCAAGGTTGGCCTGGCCCTCGATCGAGGTTTTCAAGAATCATCAGAAAGGCAACTCCGGCGGCCATACCGTGCTCTCCGGCGGAGTGCCCGGGGTAGCCGCGGTCTCAGGGTCCATGGTAGGGGCGCTCTTCATCCTCTCCCCCTCCACCGCTCGATCGGCCGGCCCTGTTTGTACACGCTCGGAAGTGTATGTACTGCCTTGCGGGGAGTTGGGAGTTGGTGCTGCCGGGACGTTCTTGAATTCTCGGAGTGTGCAGAAACCGGCAGGGGACGGGAATGGGGGTGGGAGGATTAGGTGGGATATATCTGGAGCCCTCGAGGTTTTTTACGGGAGGTCAAAGGAGCAGGTTCGGCGGGAGGCGGCACAGCATTGGCGTGAGCCGCCTGCGGAGGCAGAGGCGGCAGGGCCGGGGGCGGGGCACGGTGGGAGGGAGGGGAGGGCGGAACTGTGGAAGGGGACGAGAAGCAGGGGATCAACGGGGGACTAGAATATGGGGGCGAGGGTGGTAGTGGGGCAGGAGGAGCAAAACCGCAAAATGGCGAAAGCTGCGGTTTTTCCCTTTGCTTTTGGTGAGGAATAAATGGAACTCGCTTGCGCCTAGTTGTTGTTTTCGACGTGGCCGGCTCCCCCCTCATCCTCTGCGGATGCTCCGTGTGGCATACTGAGGATTCTTCTACATTAATGTGAAAATGTTAAGCATTGTAACATTAATGTCAAGTGTGGCTGCAAAAAATAAGTAAAAATGGACAGGAGATGTGTTCAACATTAATGTGGACTGTAACTTTGGCAGGAATTTATACAAGATGTCCATAAGCATTTATTGGGTGAATTTATGAGTTTATTACATGCAAGAAGTAGTGCAGGATCAGTTTCTAAATGTAGAGGTTACATGCGAGAAGTAGTTTTGCATGCTTATGTGCGGTTGCGCGTTAGTACTATAGTTGGCCACAAGCTTAGCGATTTTGAGTGATGCGATAACGGTAGTTCACTTCACTCACATGCCTACACCAGATGAGAGATTGGGAGATGTTTTATGGTTTTGTTTATGGCTCAAAGCATGTACTGGTCATGTGAGGTTGATGTTCCATTTGTAGATTAGTATTTTAAAGTACACAGACGGTCAATCATACTGCAATTAGTGCACTAAACTATGATTCAAATTATTGTTAGTTTATGCTACTCGAGATGTTGGCATCTAACAGCATACATGTCCTGTTTTAGAAATGTTGAAAAGGGAAGCATTCATCCTTCGAGGTTAACCAGGGAAAGATATGTACCCCTGAAATATTGCCATCTCAGTTAGTCATACTCTAGAAATAGTCGTGCCTACAAACTCAAACCATCAAAACTCAACCGTTTTTTAAATATTAATAGATGGTTCGTACTGATGCAGATCCACTAAGCTGTCGCTCAGGTCATTAAAAAACAACGAGTTAAATTGACTAGATAGGTAAGATGTGGATGAAAACCACATTAAATCTTAAGGTACATTTTGTGTCGTATGTGCGCATGTAATTTTTTTTAACACCTCAATGGCGTGCTTTTGTAGGTCAAAACAAAATCTTGTGACATTAACATTTTTATAATTTGTCTGGCC